CCCCCCCGCCAAAAAAAAATCCTTATCACTTCAATCCTTCCATTTGCAAGTGTTCCTTCAACAGATATTTTTGTTTCAGTTACTGTCCTAGGCTCTGGGGATATCGTAGTGACCAAATACCCTCAAGGAACTTATATTTTAATGGGTAGGCAAACAGAACAGTAATGATAGTAGATGGTTATAAGTGCTATGGAGGAAAAAAAAATAAAGCAGGAACAGAATATGAAGTGGCTTGAGGTTTTATTAGGGAAACCAGGGGAAGGCCTCTCTGGCAAAGCGGTTTGAATAAAGACTTGAAGAAGGAACTAAGGAAACGGCCATGCAGATACCAGGGGACCATTACAGAGAAGGAATGGCAAGGTCATTTCTATCTATGAACGTGGAGTAATGTAGCTCCTAATTGGCAAGTGCAGACCATCTTAGCTGCCACTCTTGTTTCCATGGCACATACATCTGATCAGTCATCAAGTTCTTTGTCACTGAGCCCAGGAAAGTCTCAGAATCTTCCTCAACACATAGCGCTTCAGAAAGCCACCATTTATTAAAGTGGACACAGGAGGTGGAACCTGTTTGCTAATTCTGATCTAAATAAGGATTGAGAAATCAGGTGTTGACCTCAGTTTGACTGGACTTTGATGGCTTAGTCTTTCTCAGACTAACAGGGATAATGATAATAGCTACTATTCATAGGGCTATTGTCAGGATAAAATAAACTATTGTAATGCTCCTCGAAGTTGGTATTGTTGTTAAACTGGTCCGTGACATGATAAATAAATTGAGAGGTTTAGGAAGTTACAGTGAATTCACAGAGTAATTTTATGTCCGATCTAATAAAAATTTAAGCTTAGGTTTTTTTGTCTTATTATTTGTCTAATAATTCATTTGATTGTATTTTGTGAAAATACTGGTCCTTGGCAGAGTGGTGGGGGAAATACTGGTTCTTCAACATAGTTTGGGAATGACGAGCTAATACGTGTAAAATGCAAAATGGTAACCATTAATGCCATTATTAATGTGGTTCCTAATTGCTATCGTAAGCAGAGTGTCAGTATCTCCAGGAAAGTAACCCTAAGGGGAGAATGAGTGAATACTTCCAGTTTGCCTAGAGCAGAGTCTTATAGTAGATATGGGCAGATGGGATGGAGACTTCACCAGATTATAATAGAAGCCTTTGCTTTAGACTTGTATAACCTTATCATTGAAGAGCTGAGGTGTGTTTCAGGTGTTTCATAACATTTGTGGAAGAAATCAAAGGGGCTTGGGGGCTTCAGCAAAATTAAGAATCTCTTTCTGTATCTATTCATGCCTGTATATCTATCTATTGGATAGTACTATATAAAATACATAAAATACAATTATTTTGAGAACTTTAGTGCAATAATCTTTGCTCTTAAGATATCTGGGAACACAAAAGTGCTTTGAATTTTTAGAGGGATAAAAATGACAGGATAAAAAGATAAAGGTCTGCAGCTTCTAAGTAGAGGTGATGGAGCCATGGGAATGCACGATACAGAGAAAGAAAGCTTCCCCAAAAGATTCACTACTTAAAAAGACCTCTAATGAGTATGAGGAAAATAAACTAATAAAATAATTATAACGTTATTGAGAGAGGTTTTCAATGAAAATGTTGAAAAACTAAGGTAATAGAATGTGAACAAAAGCCTTTGTCTGCAAGTAAAGCCTTTGGGACTGGCTGCCTGTTACATTTGAGTTAAGTGATAGAGCTGTGCAGCCAGAGAGAATATCAAGGGGAAACGTTGACAGGAGGGACTTTGCAGTACCTGTGGGTGGCAAGTTTTATTTGTTGACTTTTGTTGTATACAGAATCGAAGAGTCTTAGCTCTTAAGCCAAAGATACTTTTGTTTATTTGGGAGGCCTTTTTATTATCAAAGGGTGAATGATGCTGACTTCATGGAAAATGAGTGTGTGTTTCAACCTTTGTGTCTTTTAGCTAAGTCATTCTTTAACAGTATGCCGCTGGTTGCACAAATGTCAACATTATTAACTCAAAGTCAACGAGAAAGGTGGCTCTTATTCTAATACCTTGAGCAAGTCCAACTTCTCTAGCTGGAGGATTCTTCTATGTTCTTTGTTATTTGTACATGTGTCATTTTTACCTAGTTATAACCTAAAATATGCCCTTTTCTGGATTCTGTAATGAGTATTTTAGTTGAGTTGTAGCCATCTCATTTATAAGTTTTGTTTTTTTTAATTTTTTTTTAACGTTTATTCATTTTTGAGACAGAGACAGAGCATGAACGGGGGAGGGTCAGAGAGAGGGAGACACAGAATCTGAAACAGGCTCCAGGCTCTGAGCTGTCAGCACAGAGCCCGACGCGGGGCTCGAACTCATGGAACGCGAGCTCATGACCTGAGCTGAAGTCGGCCGCTTAACCGACTGAGCCACCCAGGCGCCCCTCATTTATAAGTTTTTAATAATTAAAAATGATGTCATTAACTGGCCCTTTCACTTGTGGTTATTCCCTTGGACTTTAATTTGTTTGCCATTGTTACATGCATCTCCGTGCATATAACTTCATTTTGGATTATTTCCTTATGATTAAAGTCCCAGTAATAACATTATTGAATAATCAAAGGGTTATGACCATTTTTAAATGGTTTTTAGTCAGCTTTGCAAAGTTGTATAAAAGTTAATTTTCCATTTCACTTTCCAGAGAAATTAATAGACTTACGAAATGAGTACCTGCAAGCAGATGAGGCCAATAAAAGATTTTTGGAACAGAGGTATGGCAAGAGGGTGATTCAGAAGGCGCTGGAAGAGATGGAAAGTAAGGAATGGCTAGAAAAGAACTCAAAGAGCTGCCCGTGTTGTGGGACTCCCATAGAGGTAAAGGTTCGGGACAGACTCGGCAGACAGATTTGCAAGCTCGTTATGATTGCCTGAAGAAGCCTATTGTTTATGACTAGGGAAACATATTTATCAAACCTTACTTGGAAGATGCAAATTCACTACTAAATATTGACCTTAAGTGGATGTAGACTTCCCTTTCAAAATGCTTTCACAAAGTGAAAATTATTCTCATAGTGTTTTCACATCAAAATGGAATGGGTTATGACGAAGCCACTGTAGAGCTACAATCAACTCTTACCTCATCTCCATGATATAAAAACTCACGCCTGACTTCTTAGAACTAATTATACTGGAATTTAACACACCTGCGTACGAAGTACACACTTAGGAAACGACATTTTCCTATTAACCTGAGCCAAAATAGACATTTAAATGTATTGCTTCTTGACACAATCTTAATGTTTTAAAATCAGAATTTATCTTTGCATTTGGTCCTCCCATTCTGATCCATTATATCTGAACTGAACCTGGTGGTGATTTTCCAGTTACTCCACTAAGGAAACCGGCATTCTGTTGAACCATTTCAGACGTGCCTCAGCCCTATGTTAGAGTGGAGGGCTTGATACCAAATGTTTACTTAGATTAAACTACACGTTCCACGTATAATATACACATTTGGTTTGTATCTCCTGTTGATCAGAAAAGTTTTGCTAAGTATCTAGTTGTAGGTACACGTGCTGAATATTTTCTATATTCTACTTGTAATGTGTAATAGTTACAGCATGTTCCCTGCATATTTAAACCCTGCACGGGGTAAAAGGAGAAGTCGAGGAGGACATTGTACTGAATCTTTTTGGCATGTGCTTTCCTCTTTTGCTTTAATAGCCCTCGTATTTTTCTCTTTGCATCTTTCCCACCAGAAATTAGATGGATGTAACAAGATGACATGTACTGGATGTATGCAATATTTCTGTTGGATTTGCATGGGTTCTCTCTCTAGAGCAAACCCTTATAAACATTTCACTGATCCTGCTTCCCCGTGTTTTAATCGGTACGTATACATAATCCTGTAGTCTCAGAAACAGATTTTGGACCATTTTTCTTAGAGAATTCTCTTATATATTTTCTCACATATATGGACTTCTATATTGTCTTGTGAGTTTATGTTGAAAATATGCCACTGGGAAATTTTATTTTTTATCCTCCTCAGTGAAAAATTTCAAACATAAAGAAAAGTTGAAAGACTATGGTTAATAGGATATCTTCTACCAAAATGAACAATTGATAGTATTTTGCCGTATTTATTTTCTAATACTTGACTCTAAGTTGGAGATAGGATACTTTATCTCTAAACACTTCCACATTATCACCTAAAATAAGAAAATTCTTCTACATAACATAGTACTTAAAGAAATTTAGTGATGGTGGCATATTATCTCCTAATAAACATATTTAAAACTTCCCAATGACTCCTAAAAATATCTTTTAAAGGTGTTTTATTGAGCCACAATATAATCAAATTCAAACATTTTATTTGGCTTTGTCTTTCTAGTCTCTTAATACAGAAGAGTTTTTCCCACTTTTTTATTTTTTAAGTTTATTTTTGAGAGAGAGCACACAAGCGGGAGAGGGATAGAGAGAGAGGGAGGGAGACACTGAATCTGAAGCAGGCTCTAGGTTCTGAGCTGTCAGCACAGAGCCCAACTTGGAGCTGGAACCCACAAACTGTGAGATCATGACCTGAGCCAAAGTCGGAGGCTTAACCAACTGAGCTACCCAGGGGTCCCTTCCACTTAAAAAAAAAAAAAAAAAGTTAAAGATTTATTTATTTAGGGAGTGTGCACGTGAGCAGGGGAGGGGCAGAAAGAGAAGGAAAGGGAATAAGGGAATCCCAAGCAGGGTCCTCACTGTCAGTGCAGAGTCTGACACGGCGCTCAGAATCACCAACCTCAAGATCATGACCTGAGCCAAAATTAAGAGTTGGACACTTAACCGATTAAGCCATCCAGGTGGCCCTGCTCACCCTTTTTTGTTGGATGCATTGAGGAAAACAGTGACATTTTAGAGAGTCCAGGCCACTTGTCCTATAGAACATCTTACTTTCTAGAGTTTTCTTTCTCCATGTTGTCTTTTAGTTACTCTGTCCTCTCTCTTTCCTGTAAATTGGAAGTTAGGTCTAGACTGAGTTTGAATATATTTAGAGTTAACATTTTTGACAAGAATACTTGTGTACTTCATTTTATATTGCATTACATCCGTAATGTCAGGCTCTCCCATTGTTAGTATGCTGCTCAGTTCTATTGCTTGCTCCATCGTCATTGTAAGTTTTCTTGGCGTGCCTGTGTGGCTCAGGGGTTAGGCGTCTGACTTCAGCTCAGGTCATGATCTCACAGTTCCTGAGGTTCCTGAGTTGGAGCCCCACATTTGGCTCTGCGCTGGTGGTGTGGAGCCTGCTTGGGAATCTTGCCTCTCTCTGCCCCTGCTATGCTCTCTCAAATATATTTTTAAAAAATGTAAGGTTTTGGGTTTTTTTGTGTGTGTGATTAGTAAGTAATATCTGGGGTGATTTCTTGGCACAATAAAAATATCCTGTTTTTCAACAGCTCTCATTTCAGTGTCAGTTTATGATCTTTCTTAAGAGGCATATGTATAGTACCTAAAATCATTGGTGTTACCTAACTGTAAGAAAAGTTGAAGAAACAGGTTCTCCCCGTGAACCATTGTAAATCTAGTGTTGAAAATTACATGAATTTTAGGTAACATTGGAAAGAAAAACGAGTTGGCAACTATAAAGCATTCTACCAGTGGAGAATGCAAGGGTGATGAGGCAGAGTAGAGTGACTCAGGTGTGATAAGAGTTACAGTGGTTTAGAAGAGTTCACCTTCTTCTGGATTGCCTGACTTCCCTAATCCTGGTTTATTCCATTTACTGTATACATTGAGTATCAGGTTTTTGATACCCATTTCCCATTATTGTTAATCCTTGGCCTTAAAGAGTTTGTCTGGATCCGAAAAGGGCTATTCTTGTAAACTTTAAGACAGCTTATTCAGAGGGACCCGTATCTCAGCCCTCCTCAGTGTAGTGATTGAGAGAAAGGAAAAGCTGTTCAAAGATGTTATCAGAAGAGTGCAGAAGGTAATTTTGAGAGAAGGAAAGAGATTATGTTTTTTCCAAGTGCATAAAAATGTACCTTATTTTATACTTCCAGGTTGTTCCATGCTGTGGATGTTAATGGAGATATTTGGGAAGATGAGATTGAAGATTAGTTAACTCCTGCTCAAGATAAGGAAATGGAATGGTTTACCCAAATCTTGTGTCAAGTACACAAAATAGTTTTGCAGGCTATTTAGGGTACCATTTATGCACTCATCCTTTGTAGAAGATGTGGAAGAACAAGGTTTATATTTCCATGTGGTACTACTGATAAAGGCACATGCACACGTTTTTCAATGTAACATAGAGAAAATTATAAGCCAAAGGTTCAATGAAAACTAGAGAATATTAAATACTACAGTGTGCCCGAAGCTCTGAATAGTTAAAAAGTAAATATTTATTTTCTTCCCCAAGTTTTAGGTGAAGAGAGGAGTCAAGAGTTAAAGTTATAGACCTTTTTATCTGAAAGCATCCCTCTAAGACATTAGGGGGAGTCCCCTCAGTACTGCTCCTTATGACTGGGGTAGGTAGAAAGAAGCCTTATTAAAATTGTACCAAGAGCCTGATCTCATTTACTCCATGTCATGTTCCTTTCACCCTAAGTTTCTGCCAAGTGACTTTTCTTTGAGGAAGCCCTTTTACTCAGTAACTGATTGGATGACCCAGTGTCATTTTGATCTGCTTTTCAGAATAGAAATTTGTAGATAATTTAAAAAATCTTTTTAATGCCAAAAACACTGTGGGCCAGCTGGTATTTATTAGTGGGGTATAGTTCACTGGTTTTGAGCCCAGTCTAGAATTTAATGATACTGGCTCAGAAGAATTTCAGTCCTATTCAGCTCTTCTGGGCGGTAGAGCCTAGATTCAAAATGACTTGTCTTTGCTACCTTTTGTTCTACGCTCTCTCCCTTCACTCATGCCCTACCTTCCATTAGTAAGGACAATTTTAATATTAACTCCAGCAGCTCATATTTTTATTTATGCTGGAATAGGAGAAAGCCTAATATATTCCCAAGCTGAACAAGCTGCATTTTTAAAAATTACCTCTATTTTGAACTCCCCACCATTGTAGTTCGAGTCCCAATTTTCTGAATTCTTTTTAAAGGTCTTCTCTAATGAGCTGTGGAAATTTGGCTTCCTACCCTTTTTTGCAACAGCACTATTTTGGGGGATAATTTTGGCTTGATTCCTAGATCCCTGTTTCTGGATTTTGATGGCTTTTTGAAAAATTGTCTTTCCTTGTGATTTGGTGAATGGCTTGGTAGCAAAATGATTTTTTGAAAAAGAGGACAGGGATACAGCTGCAGCTGTGAACATGTTCTTTTTTCCCAACTTGTCACTGAAAATTGGGGAATCACTTTTAACCATTTTATGTGTGTGTATCCAGAGTCAGCAAGGACTGTTTCTGGATTGTCAATGAGGCTGCTTAATCTTAAAAATAAAAATAATTTAAAAATTGTCTTATAATTAGAGCAGAGTTGCTGCTGTTCTGTCTCCAAGGCAACTGATCACATTTTTAAAAAACTTTATGGCATGTAACACATATTCTTAGAGTGAACAGAAAAAAAGTCATGGAATAGCACCTGTTCTTTTACCCAGACTCGTGACTGAACTTAGGTTTTTAGGGCCCATATTTTGTTTCAACCATATGGTTCATGAGCTTTCGTTTTGCACATTTTATATAAGAACTAAAGTTAATTTCATATATATATATATGTATATATATATATATATATATTTTTTTTTTTTTTTAAGCTTACTTGTGTATTTTTGAGAGGGGCAGAGAGAGGGGGAGAGAGAGAATCCCAAGCAGGCTCTGCACCATCATCATGGAGCCTGATGTGGGGCTCGAACCCATGAGACTGCGAGATCATGACCTGAGCCGAAATCAAGAGTTAGACACTTAACCAACTGAGCCATCCAGGTGCCCCAGAACTAAAGTTAATTTCTTAAAGAATAAGTTGAAAATAATAATAAAAAAATAAGTTGAATATAATAAATGTACATTAAAACACTTATACAGCATATTGATGGAATGGGAATTCAGTTGAGATGTTTTCACTAGTAGCCACTCCGAAGTTCTTTAGTTCATGGACTAGTTGGTATTTGTTAGAGACTATTTTATTTTAGGGTTTTGCACATTATGTTGTTGATAAAGTGGAAGTAGGAAAGAAAGCTTTATAATGCACTTCTGTAAAAGAAATGGGAGGTTTCTCTTTACGATTTTAAAAAACACAGGTGGTTAGTCTTAGACGTGTTTGTTCATCTGAATGTTCCATCCTTTCTTCCTTAGGTACAAAATTTTCACCATCCAATTATAACAAAGACAATAGGGCTTATAAAGTCTTATTTTTGAAGCATGTGTTATGAGGTAATTTTAAGATGGTACAGTTCTCCTGGGGCGCCTGGGTAGCTCAGTCGGTTAAGGGACCGACTTGAGCTCAGGTCATGATCTCGCGGTTCACGAGTTTGAGCCCCACATCAGGCTCTGTGCTGACGGCCCAGAGCCCGACGCGGGGCTCGAACTCACGGACCGCGAGATCGTGACCTGGCTGAAGTCGGACGCTCAACCGACTGCGCCACCCAGGCGCCCCATGGAGTACTTTTTTAATATACGTGCTGCCAAAGCGAGCACAATAGGGTACTTTTTAAAATTTTATTTATTTGGAGAGGGAGAGTGCATGCGTGAGTGGGGGGAAGGGGTAGAGAAAGAGGGAGAATCCCAAGCAGGCTCCGTGCTGTCAGCGCAGAGTCTGATGCAGGGCTCAATCCCGTGACCTGAGTCAAAATCAAGAGTTGGACACTTAACCTACTGAGCCACCGAGGCGCCCCTTGGGTAGAGTACTTTTGTCTCTGAGTAAAATGAAAGATTGGGGTAACCACACATGCCCTGTGAAATACATGACTTTGTGGAAGGTTGGTATATCAAGAAACTATATGATAGAATAAGGAGTGTTGTACCTAGTTTAATTTCATGAAGGCCTTTTGTTACAAGTGGGCCGAGATTTGTCATAAATTGACATGAACCTCATGTATCCTTTTGGTGGGCACGAGAGAGCAAAGGGTCCCTGTACAGACTGCCAGGTCATCATGTTCAAAAGTGTAGTTTGAAGAGGTTGCATCTCTTGATTTAAATAAAAGGTTTGAGTCTAGAACAGATAAATGAAAATAAGCTACAGAATAACTTGCAAAGTCAAAATACAAGTTTTGTGACTTTTTAAGGTTGTGATTGAACAGACTTAAGGGCCCACTTTGTCAATTGAATTGCATCTTGTCCCATTCTCTTTTGAAGTAAACATTTTTAGAAGTTTCAGATTTACAGAAAAATTGCAGAGATAGTACAGACTCCTGTTGTATTCCACACAGGCTTCCCCCTATTACTAGCATCTTACATTAGTATGATACAGTTGTCACAATAATGAACAAATATTGATTATTAGTAACAAGAGTCCATACTTGTTTCAGATTTCTTTAGTTTTTTTCCTAATGACCTTGAGCTGTTTGCAGATCACATCTAGAATACCTCCTATTACATTTAGTCATCACGCTTTCTTAGGCTCCTCTTGGCTGGCACAGTCAAGATCCCATCCATTTTTTTTGTTAATATTACTTAAACAGCCATTAGATCTTGATGTACCTGGGTTGGTCACGAGCTGAAACCTTTTTTTTTTTTTTTTTTTTTTTTTTTTTTTTTTTTTTTTACATGTACACATGAGCAGAGGATGGGGGGCAGAGGGAGAGGAAGAGAGAATCCTAAGCAGGCTCTGTGCCCAGCAAGGAGCCCAGTGTGGGGCTTGATCCCACAACTGTGAGATCATGACATGAGCCTAAGTCAAGAGTTGGACACTCAACTGACTGAGCCACCCTGGTACTCCTGAAAACCTTTTCTTGAAGACTGATGACCTAATCCTAGCAGGCTCAGCAAATCATTGAACATTTTGTTTGAGGTCTTTTTGTAGCTTTAAATCCGTTATTTCTCAGGACATTTCACTGGCTTTGTATGGAATTTTAGGCAATGTACCTGTTATGGTCATTTTCCAAATCAGCTTATTGAGGAAATCGTGAAACTGGGTAAGTTTTTTGTTTTTTGGGTTTTTTTTAAGATTTTATTTTTAAGTAATTTCTATACCTGACGTGGGCCTCAGACTCAAACTCCTAAGATTGAGTCGCATGCTCTACTGACTGAGCCAGCCAGGTACCCCTGAACTGGGTAAGGTGATGAGACTTGTGGGTCATCCGGACCCACAGGCCTGAGAGGGCAAGCTTGCAGTCTCAGCTAAATACTGCAGCCAGCAAGTAAGGAGATGGATAACGGACAAGAGACTTGGCAGCCACTCTTCCAGTCCTCTAGTATTGTCAGCAAGGTCATTTTGTTTCTTAAATTTATTGAAGTAATCTCTACACTCAACGTGGGGCTCGAAATCACAACCCCGAGATCAAGAGCCGCACACTCTTCAGACTGAGCCCGCCACGTGCCCCAGCAGGGTTATATTTTTGGAGTAGATGGTTCTAATTTACTTTAGAAATCCCTTAATATACTTAAGATTCATTTTTTGTTGTTGTTAGGAGAAAAGTAGAGTTGATTAGGTAGAATAATCATAAATCCATGTGGCTGCCTGCTTTGGAAGGAAATTTTGGAGAGCCCACCAAGTATTACTTTGTCATAAGCATTGCCAGCAGGTGGCAGCAGTTTCCATGTTCTAAAAATGCAGTACATGATTAAGAGAGGAGCAGTATTTTATTTTGTTACAGAAACGGGCTTATTTCTGGGATTTTCATTTTCCTCATTGTGTTTGATTGTAGTCCACTATCCACACAGGGAGGTAGAATGGCATCTTAACGACATCAGCAAGGCAGGAGCAGCAATATTATCCAAACTGTGAGGCCACTTAAAACTATACTTGAACCATAGTTGGCATCCAGTTGTTACATAGAAAGTGTCACTTGTGCATCCCTTGGTAAACAGACTGTTATATCTGAAGCTCCTAAGTGTGACGGATAAGTCATAACATAACACCAGCACCATCTGATACTGCAAAGAAGAGCCAAATAGTCTGCTCCCTGAACTTTGGCTCAATGAAAAAATCAGCCAGCAAACCAGGCTGGGCCTTTGTGGTCAGAGAGCTGGCTTTGAGGATGTTCTTAACGAAGGTTAATGCTAATTATCCACTTGCAGCATTCACAGTCCAGTCCTTGCACAATGATTCAGGTCGCCTAAAGATTTGCCACTCCCAAGGATTCGCATACTTCTCTGAGCCACAGGACGCCTCGGAGAGGACTGTGCACGCTGAAAACTTAGTGAGGTTCTGATCCCAAAGTTGTAAATACTAAGTCACCATAGTTACTTTTTTCCCTTGCTTAGCTTTTTCTCCCCTTTGCTGAACCAACAAACTAAACTAATATTAATGTCAATGCATGGAAATTTAGATGATGATGCGTGTCTTATTCCCATTCCCACTCCATTTCTTGCAGCCTACTATGTTCCTAGTATTCATTCACTTGCTTAC